ATGTCAAGCCCTTTATTAGCAATGAATCAAGCATGTACAAAATGTAGCAGCTGTGAAGATGACTATGGCGCATTGATATAAACTGAGACTCTAAATTGAATTCTTGCTCTTGCAATCTGGCTAAGGATTCATTGTGCATTGTCATTCTGTGATATGTAAATATTGGGAAGAGACCTTTTCATTGTATACCATTCAAAGGTCAAGGGTAAAAAATAGAATTATGATAAAAATCATATTTGCATATTTTTTGAGATTGCAATTGGGGGATGCAGGAACATGCTTCTCCGTTGTCATTTGTTATCTTAGCTGTCTCATCTCTGTTTTCGGGGCATAAAACACTATTTCTGTAGACATATAACCACTAAATTCATATCTCTTTGGTGTCATAATAATAGGAATCCAAAATCTTGTAATAGTAATAAATCCAGTATAGAATATGCAACCTGTGCAATATTTAATTCGTATGTGATTGGTTTATTACACGCAATCTGTACACAAGAAGACAAAGATAACCACTACTCTGTAATATTTCAATGACAGTACTGTATTAACCATACTATACTGTACTGTATGCTTAAAGGGGAATCCTATGGATTGCACTGCATCATAGAATCAGGGGACACTATTGTTTAATGTTGTTTCAAAGTTAATCTATCTTTTGTCATCCATTGTAATTTTAATACAGAAAGTAAATTTGTTGTGAGATTAGGCTTAACTGAAAGTGCCCCCTTAAGGTTATTACATAATCTCTATGATATTCTGTTGTATTTTCAATGATATTGTGTTTTGAAGAGTTTCCATTCAATTGGTCAAAATATTAAAAACATCAATGTTTCCAACTCACAACGTAAAAATTTCCCTCAATAAATCTGCCATCATCATTCAACTTACTCGTACCAGCCTCTGAAAATTTGCACATTATTCTGTCGAAGCAAGAAAAACGAACGTGCAAATTATCTTTGGCTATAGCGTAATATTTAAAAAATTTTTTTTGGGGGGGGGGGTATTTTGGGAGTTGAAAAACTTGCAGTCATATTTATTCAGTAAAACACACACGTACCATCTCTATTTCAGTCCATTTTGTGTGAAAAATCATCTTTTTCAACTGGAAATCCATGTTTCTCAGCCACCTTATTGTTCCGAACATCAACATTGCCAGCTAAGTTGCTGACTGGTTTGTTATGCGCATCTCAAGATTAATACATGATCAGAACTGGTCACTGCGCAAACTACTTTTACAAGGTTGCGCAGTTCGACTAAACTGACATGCACCAGACACACCATCGCCTGTGTCCAGACATTTCATACTGTGTAAATACATAACTTTGCCATTTATTATATACGAATGTGTAAGATTGAATAAAATATATTATTCATCGTGATCTTCTATTTATATTCAAATGTGTCTGAGTCCCCAACTAATAGTTTGACTTATCTTGTTGAGGTTGGAATGACCCAACTTGTTCTAATCGCGAAATGATCTCCAAGTGCACTTAGTAAAACCAGTCAGCAACTTAACTGGCAATGTTGCTGTTTTGGTATTCGGAACAATATAGCGGTGACTAGTCGTTTTAGGTGCCGTCATTTGTACCCACCCACACTCACTCCACTATCTTTAAAAACTGTTTCAAATATGCTGCTGACTTCTTCCGTGGTTGCATGTCTTGGTACGTTCTAGGTAGGTTCGCATGCGCTAATAGAATTATATCGCATCATACTTTGATTCAGGAATTCTTAAACGTATGTAATGTTCAGTTCACACAGTAAAAATATTCTCTGTATGATGAGTATGATTTGAATACAGCATCATATTTTTACTGTTGAGCATTTGAAGAATACGGATGTTCCATGTATGTAAAATATAATTAGTCCCCGTTCGGACACAGTCCGAAAACTTATGTTTTGACCTCCGTGTGTGCGTGCGTGCGTGTGTGCGTGCGTGTGTGTGTGCGTCTGTGCGTGCGTCCGGACCTGTATCTTATAAATGCCTGGACCAATCACAATCAAACTTCACACATACATCATACATGATATTATACATATGCACGTCAATTTGTTTCATGATCTGATTCAAGATGGCCGAATGGCGGCCATTTTTGTGCTAAAAATCATCAAAATTAAGCATTTCTTGGCTGTTTACAGATGGATTTTGTTCAAACTTGGTATATACGTTAGACATTATAGGACCTTGATGCACATCATTTTGTTTTACAATCTGATTCAAGATGGCCGAATGGCGGCCATTTTTGTGCTAAAAAATCGTAAAAATCAACCATTTCTCGGCTGTTTATAGATGGATTTTGTTCAAACTTGGTATATACATTAGACATTATGGGCCCTTGATGCAAATAATTTTGTTTTTCAGATAAGATTCAAAATGGCCGACTGGCGGCCATTTTGTATTAATGAATGTGGTTCTCGTGCCATATCTCTGACTTGCTTTCACTGATTATGTTCAAATTTTAAATATTCACTATACATCATGTCATAGATAGACAGATATACTGGTTTGACGATCCTATTCAAAATGGCCAAATG